CAGGACCACAATAGTTTACTGCCATGGAGCACAGGCACCACAGGGTCTAGACCAAGGGTCTCCAAACTACGGCCCGCGGGCCGGATGCGGCCCGCGAGGTCCTCTTATCCGGCCCGCGGAGATCTTTTTGTCCACGGAAAAAAATGTTTGTTGGAGGTGGCTGAGGAACTTTGCCCAGAAAATGCAAAACAATTTGAAAATGTAGCTTTCGGTGCAACTACCGTTGCCCACCGTGTTGCAAACATTAGTGAAAACATTGTGTGACTCAAATAGCGAAAAATGCAAGCAAGTTTCGCCATTTTTCAATTGCAATTGATGAGTCGCTGGACAGCTGTTCCACCTCTCAACTGCTTGTGCTCATTAGAATTGTGGATGAAGACATAAACATAACATAAGAACTGGCTTCGCTACACAACATGTATAGCACTGTTACCGGAGAGGATATTATATCCAATGAGGTAAAAAGAAACATTTGCTGATTATAACTTGGATTGGACTAACCTCAGTTACCTGACTGTTGATGGAGGAAAATACATGAGTGGCATAAAGAAAGGTTTGGTTGGACAAGCGAAGTAGATATGTAATGAGAAAAGCATTTTACAACCAATGTTCCTGCACTGTATTATTCACCAGCAAGCTTTGCGTGCTACATATGTAGACATACGCAGTGTAGTGAATCCTGTGTTGAAGATGGTTAATGTACAAGGTCACATGAGCTCAACCACAGATAGTTCAGAGACATGTTGAAAGATACAAACAGAGAATCGCAAGATTTACCAGTAAAATGACTAAGTTTTGAGAAAGTTCTGAGCAGGGTATTTAAGCTAAGAAAGGAAATAGGTGACTTCCTGGAAAACAAAGCAAGCTGCTGCCGTTAATGTCTGATGAAAAGTATAGAAATTGGCCTCTGAAGCAAACATAACACGTCATTTAAATTTTCTGAACCAAAAACTACAAATTAGGGAAATCTAATTTCTGATCTATACACCCACCTAAAGGCCTTCAGATCCAAACTTGTCATGTTTTCGGGACAAGTCTTAGTACAAGCCAACAACTCGACGCACTTTCAGCAGTGCAAGCTCTTCATAGCTGAAGCAACAGATGTCCCCCAGATCATTTACATGCAAGATCATCAAAGACCTCCAGCTGCAGTTTCAGTAGCGGTTTGCTGACTTGGATTCAAAGGCAGAAGAAGTGAGACTGTTTCAAAACATCTGAAGCAAATGTGGCTAGTTGCAAAGATGAAATGCAGCTGGAGGTCATTGAATCGCAAGCAAATGACCTCCTTAAAGACTAGTTCAAAGAAGGAAGGATGGGTTTTTTAAATACGTTTTTGACCAAGGAAGACTCTCCTAAAACTTTTGCATCAAAGTACCTTTCAAATTTTGCAACAACATACCCGTGTGAACAAACATTTTCAAGAATGATATACGTGAAGAATCATTTGAGAACAAACTTGGACCTGGTGTGTGTTGTCAGACTTTTTTCTCCGGGGGGGGGGGGGGGAGGGGGGTGGACGACGACACTTAAAATTTGTATATATTTCTATATTAATTATATTTCGTGTGGGGGGGGGGTGAGAGATTAGGTAGACATCATTCTTCGGGTGGTCGGGGGGGGGGGGGGAGGTCCGGGGCTCTACCTCCCCGAAGTGATGCCTGGAAAAAACTCTGGCCCCCGAACTGATTTTTGATAGTTAATGTGGCCCTCGGGCTGAAAAGTTTGGAGACCCCTGGTCTAGATGGACCACAATGACCTTATGGATCACTAGCAGCGTATCTTCCAGAGGGTGTTTGGATTCACTTTACTGTTACACCATGGGGAGGGGGGGGAGAATTAACTGGCAAAGCTATTTTATATTTTTTGTCTGCTTAATTTCAGATTTTTGTTTCTCACTTGGATAAGACACTTCAATCTTCTAAAAACGTGAATATTTTAGCATTTTTAGCTGAACATTTTTAGCTGAACATTTTTAGCTGAACATTTTTAGCTGAACATTTTTAGCTGAACATTTTTAGCTGAACATTTTTAGCTGAACATTTTTAGCTTAGAGTTTTTAGTTCGCCACGAGCTTTTGGTTGAAAAGATTTTCTTTCAAGCAGCGGCCAACAGCGAGGGGAGATAACTAGCATTACTTTCTTCTGCTGATGGCCCTTGTGTTTATTGAAGGGGTGGGAGTTGTCTCTCGCTAGCTGGTCATGTGACCTCTGGGGCTGGTGACTTTAATGGTAGAGTCACCCTACCGCTCGGTCTGGTGACGTCACACCACCACTCGGCCTGGTGACGTCACACGACCACTCTGCCTGCTGACGTCACACGACCGCTCGGCCTGGTGACGTCACACCACCACTCGGCCTGGTGACGTCACACCACCACTCGGCCTGGTGACGTCACACCACCAAGTGCACAGATCAGAACTTTTTTAATTACAAGCATCGGAACAAAAACATGATCATAAATAATGTGCAGAAAAAACAGTTGCCCCACCCCTCCCCATCCCCACCCCACCCCCACCAGATTTATCTCTCGTGAGCTCCACCACTAAATTAGCCACCCGGATGACCGGAAATGCACAGGACATTTTTCTACGTAACCAATTACACGCAGGATATGGCGACAAGATGTCTTAAATCTTCGGCCAATGCGTCGCTGGCAACAGCGACATTTTGTCGTCATTTCCATTAGACGTCTGCTGTGCCATAGACGGCTCGTTGTCCTTATCCACTTGGATGCCGGATTCATTGGATGCTGGATTCACGGTGCGCTGACTAGTGCTGATGGTGTAGATAGCTGGAGGTCTTAGACCGTCCGGCAGTTCTCAGACTGTCCGTCAGTTTTTGAACAGTCCGGCAGTTCGTGGACGGTTTGGACAGTCCGTCAGTTCTTTGACAGTTTGGACAGTACGGCAGTTCTTGGACAGTCCGGTAGTTCTTGGACAGTCCGTCAGTTCTTGGACAGTTTGGACAGTCCGGCAGTTCTTGGACAGTCCGACAGTTCTTTGACAGTCCGGCAGTTCTTGGACAGTCCGGCAGTTCTTGGACAGTTTGGACAGTCCGGCAGTTCTTGGACAGTTTGGACAGTCCGGCAGTTCTTGGACAGTCCGGCAGTTCTTGGACAGTCTGGACAGTCCGGCAGTTCTTTGACAGTTTGCAATGTCCGGCAGTTCTTGGACAGTCCGGCAGTTCTTGGACAGTTTGGACAGTCCGGTAGTTCTTTGACAGTTTGGAAAGTCCGGCAGTTCTTGGACAGTCCGGCAGTTCTTGGACAGTCTGGACAGTCCGGCAGTTCTTGGACAGTTTGGACAGTCCGGTAGTTCTTGGACAGTCCGGTAGTTCTTTGACAGTCCGGTAGTTCTTGGACAGTCTGGACAGTCCGGTAGTTCTTTGACAGTCCGACAGTTCTTTGACAGTCCGTCAGTTCGTGGACAGTTTGAACAGTCCGGCAGTTCTTGGACAGTCCGGTAGTTCTTTGACAGTCCGGTAGTTCTTGGACAGTCCGTCAGTTCTTGGACAGTTTGGACAGTCCGGCAGTTCTTGGACAGTCCGACAGTTCTTTGACAGTCCGGCAGTTCTTGGACAGTCCGGCAGTTCTTGGACAGTTTGGACAGTCCGGCAGTTCTTGGACAGTTTGGACAGTCCGACAGTTCTTGGACAGTCCGGCAGTTCTTGGACAGTCTGGACAGTCCGGCAGTTCTTTGACAGTTTGGAAAGTCCGGCAGTTCTTGGACAGTCCGGCAGTTCTTGGACAGTCCGGCAGTTCTTGGACAGTTTGGACAGTCCGGTAGTTCTTTGACAGTTTGGAAAGTCCGGCAGTTCTTAGACAGTCCGGCAGTTCTTGGACAGTCTGGACAGTCCGGCAGTTCTTGGACAGTTTGGACAGTCCGGTAGTTCTTGGACAGTCCGGTAGTTCTTTGACAGTCCGGTAGTTCTTGGACAGTCTGGACAGTCCGGTAGTTCTTTGACAGTCCGACAGTTCTTTGACAGTCCGTCAGTTCGTGGACAGTTTGAACAGTCCGGCAGTTCTTGGACAGTCCGGTAGTTCTTTGACAGTCCGGTAGTTCTTGGACAGTCTGGACAGTCCGGTAGTTCTTTGACAGTCCGACAGTTCTTTGACAGTCCGGCAGTTCTTGGACAGTCCGGCAGTTCTTGGACAGTTTGGACAGTCCGGCAGTTCTTGGACAGTCCGGCAGTTTTTTGACAGTCCGACAGTTCTTTGACAGTCCGACAGTTCTTTGACAGTCCGGCAGTTCTTTGACAGTCCGACAGTTCTTTGACAGTCCGACAGTTCTTTGACAGTCCGACAGCTCTTTGACAGTCCGGCAGTTCTTTGACAGTCCGACAGTTCTTTGACAGTCCGACAGTTCTTTGACAGTCCGGCAGTTCTTTGACAGTCCGACAGTTCTTTGACAGTCTGGACAGTCCGGCAGGACGTTTGCTGGTTAGTGACGGATGTAAACACAGGACATTTTGGGTGTTGGTGGTGACAGTAGATGGTGTCAGTTGATTGTCAGTGGTAGGGGTGTCAGTTGTTGGTGGTGTTGGTGGTTTCGTATGGTGGTGGTGTCGGTGGTGTCAGTTGATGAAGTTGTTGGTGGTGTCAATTGATTGTCAGTGGTAGGGGTGGTTGGAAGATGTGGTTGGAATATGTGGTCCACATCATCCATCCACATCATCCAACCACATCCGTTTTGTCGGCCAACTAGCAACAAAAAATATGATGTTATTACCTTGCTTCATTAACATTTAATATAATGTGTAGAATCGAGCCATGATGGTGTTTCTAATCAAGACAGTAATTAGCTTAATTAACTGGAGCAGAAAGGCGGGAGCACGTGTAGAGCCTAGCAGACGAGAGCCGCGGAGTTTCCCGCCATTCCCCGCTCTAGCAGACGTGAACTGACGCCCGCGATCGATTGGTCAATACGAGTCGGCCTCGTTAGGGTCGACCAATCAAACGCCGCGGTATAAAAGTCGATGGGGCGCCACTGGGTGTCAGTCTCCCTTGAGCACGGTATCAACACGACGTGAGTACTCATTTCTCTCGTGCATCTAGTCCTCTGTACCATATCTCTCCCGTTAAACGTTTGTGAGATGTATGTCATTACAAATACGTGTGCACAATCATTCGCATATTACCATCTTTACCGTCGCATACTTATATATATATATATATATATATATATATATATATATATATATATATATATATATATATATATATATATATATCATGGTTATATATGAATAGATGTAAATATCGTTCCAAATATGGATATACAAGTATGTGTATATATATATATATATATATATATATATATATATATATATATATATATATGTCTATATGTACATATGTATATTTATATATATACGATGCATATATATATATATATATATGTGTGTGTGTGTGTGTATGTATACACATGAATCAATATGGCTATGCAACCATAGACTGACTTGTGTATTTTGCACATGATAGTACTTTGTCTTCTTGTAGTTGACATCGATATAGTACTTGTTTAGTTTTGTGACAGTATTTTGTTAGTTTGTGACAGTTATTTGTTTTTATCATTACATCAATTGTAGCCTAACTCACTCTAACAAAACACTCCACATATAACACACTGGAAATATAACACAACACACTACACATATAACACACTACACAAACACATACAACACACAGAGACACATACTACCTAACACATGATACATAAAATACAATACACTTCACACACAAAAACACGTTTATCTAACGACGTCATTAGTCGTATTCGACCCAACCTACGCATCCTCATCATCACCACAGTAACTAGATCACAACATCACCACAGTAACTAGATCACAACATCAGCACAGTAACTAGACCACAACATCACCACAGTAACTAGACCACAACATCACCACAGTAACTAGATCACAACATCACCACAGTAACTAGACCACAACATCACCACAGTAACTAGACCACAACATCACCACAGTAACTAGATCACAACATCACCACAGTAACTAGACCACAACATCACCACAGTAACTAGATCACAACATCACCACAGTAACTAGATCACAACATCAGCACAGTAACTAGACCACAACATCACCACAGTAACTAGACCACAACATCACCACAGTAACTAGATCACAACATCACCACAGTAACTAGACCACAACATCACCACAGTAACTAGACCACAACATCACCACAGTAACTAGATCACAACATCACCACAGTAACTAGACCACAACATCACCACAGTAACTAGATCACAACATCACCACAGTAACTAGATCACAACATCACCACAGTAACTAGACCACAACATCACCACAGTAACCAGACCACAACATCACCACAGTAACTAGACCACAACATCACAACAGTCACTGGACTACAACATCACCACAGTCGCTAGATCACAACACCATAACAGTCGCTAGATCACAACATAACCATAGTAACTCGACCACAACATCACCACAGTAATTAGACCACAACATCACCACAGTCACAAGAAAACAACATCAAGTTCAGATAAATTTTCAGTCCACTTTTAAATCTACATCTTTAGTTTGTCAACAAACTATTTGATCCGTCTGATGAACGAAAAAAATATTTCAAATTCTAAACAATTCTAGTTCCCTACCATGTAATACACAATTCTAATTCTCTACCATATAATACACAATTCTAGTTCTCTACCATATAATACACAATTCTAATTCTCTACCATATAATACACATTTCTAATTCTCTACCATATAATACACAATTCTAATTCTCTACCATATAATACACAATTCTAATTCTCTACCATATAATACACAATTCTAATTCTCTACCATATAATACACATTTCTAGTTCTCTGCCATATAATACACAATTCTAATTCTCTACCATATAATACACAATTCTAATTCTCTACCATATAATACACAATTCTAATTCTCTACCATATAATACACAATTCTAATTCTCTGCCATATAATACACAATTCTAATTCTCTGCCATATAATACACAATTCTAATTCTCTGCCATATAATACACAATTCTTCTTCTTTACAACACAAAAATCAATTCTAGTTTTTACAGTACAAAACACACGTTTAGTTCTTTACAAGTTAAAAACACAAGCATAGATCTTGATTCTCACTTTGTTTTTTGTGAACTGTGATGTTTCTGTGAATTGTAATGTTTTTGTGAATTGTGATGTTTTTGTGAATTGTGATGTTTTTGTGAATTGTGATGTTTTTGTGAATTGTGATGTTTTTGTGAATTGTGATGTTTTGTGAATTGTGATGTTTTTGTGAATTGTGATGTTTTTGTGAATTGTAATGTTTTTGTGAATTGTGATGTTTTTGTGAATTGTGATGTTTTTGTGAAGCTGGTAAGCTGTCTACCAGAAAGAATGATGTGTGTTGTATTTGTGATGTGTGTTGTATTTGTGATGTGTGTTGTATTTGTGATGTGTGTTGTATTTGTGATGTGTGTTGTATTTGTGATGTGTGTTGTATTTGTGATGTGTGTTGTATTTGTTAGTTGAATTGTTTTTGTGAAGTGAATAATATTGGTGGTGTGAGATGTGTTGTTGTGAAGTAAGTAGTTTTGTAATGTGAGTTGTGTTAGCCGCAGGTCCTATAGTGCCTGTCGCAGGTCCTATAGTGCCTGTCGCAGGTCCTATAGTGCCTGTCGCAGGTTTCATACTGCCTGGCTAATGTCCTACATTACCCGCCCCATGTCCTACATTACCTGCCACATGTCCTACATTACCCGCCCCATGTCCTACATTACCCGCCCCATGTCCTACATTACCTGCCACATGTCCTACATTACCTGCCACATGTCCTACATTACCCGCCACATGTCCTACATTACCCGCCCCATGTCCTACATTACCCGCCACATGTCCTACATTACCCGCCCCATGTCCTACATTACCCGCCACATGTCCTACATTACCCGCCACATGTCCTACATTACCCGCCCCATGTCCTACATTACCCGCCACATGTCCTACATTACCCGCCCCATGTCCTACATTACCCGCCCCATGTCCTACATTACCCGCCCAATGTCCTACATTACCCGCCACATGTCCTACATTACCCGCCCCATGTCCTACATTACCCGCCACATGTCCTACATTACCCGCCCCATGTCCTACATTACCCGCCACATGTCCTACATTACCCGCCACATGTCCTACATTACCCGCCCCATGTCCTACATTACCCGCCACATGTCCTACATTACCCGCCCCATGTCCTACATTACCCGCCCCATGTCCTACATTACCCGCCCCATGTCCTACATTACCCGCCACATGTCCTACATTACCCGCCACATTTCCTATAGATAGATGTCCCACATCTCTACACTACAGCTGCATCTTATCGACAATAATCCCATCAACTTCCGGTTGGATGAACTGGACGATACCTCTAATGATCCAAGAGTATTTGGATCCAACCTGGCAAATCAAATTTGTTTTCTCCTGGCCACCTGTCCAATCTTATTACATAACAGATGCACGTGCGTGACTCACGCCTGCAATATCCGCCCCTGGTGTTTTCTTTAAGCTCGTCCACTAATGCACGGGCTATTATAGAATTATCCGTCTGCTTTTAACTTGATTAATTACCAGTTTTTCTTGCCTTTGTAGTTGTCCGCCCCTGCTTTGCATTAGAAACAGTAGAGCGAGGACATTTTTAGGACATTTTTGTATGTTGTCACATTGGTGGGGATGTCACAAATCTTCTCGGTTGTCTTCGCTTGGATGTGACAAAAAATGGCGCGGATGTCAGTCTTGTGATCTCTCATTGCGAATAATTTGTTTCGTCACTTTGAACTTGGTTCAAGTTTTTTAATCAGAAAAGTTGCGTCGTTTTTAAATGTCGAATTCTTGTATCGAAACAAAATCGGGTGTTTTAGTTTTTAAATATTTGACCGTGTAATGTGTGTGATGTTTTTCTGAATATTTTGCCATATAGTTTTTGTGATGTTCCTCTAAATATTTGACCAAATAGTTTTTGTGATGTTCCTTCATATAGCTCATACCACAACATCACACAACATCACACAACATCACACAACATCACACAACATCACACAACATCACACAACATACCACAACATCACACATACCTCATTTTAAATGGCATGATTTTACTTGTTAGTAGTGGCATTGTAAGTCTGAGGCTGACCCCCCCCCCACACACACACACTCACACTCACGCATATAGCACACCCCACTTCCCCTCACACATACAGACACACCCTCCACACGCCCTCACACATACAGACACACCCTCCACACGCCCCCACACTTACATACATACACACTTCTTACAACAGCCCATACTTTAAACCCTCACCCTTCATAAAACAATTTTTTAACATTATACAAACTTGTTGCATTAAAGAAAAATTTATTTAAATTTTTACATCTATGTTAATAATGCAGAAAAACTTTTATCTCATGAAAACAATCTCTTGCGGGTGTATATTGTATCCCATTTAACTAGTTTGGTTGAGACACCATTGGTTTTAGCCACCATTTGGTTTAGAAAAGTTTTGGTTTAGATTTGTTTTGCATATTTTCGGGAAAATCAGTTTAAACTAGAGTACCCGTCATCCGTTGGATAACTGTGGGTTTCGGGGGTCATCCATCAAAAAACATCACGTCTGTCACTCAGAGGCATAGCGACCCTTTCCGGCGCCCGGGGACAAACTTTTCAATTTGAACCCACCCACCCCCCCCCCCCGCAAGATTTCGATTTGCAACCCCCCCCCCCCAAACTTTGATGTGCACCCCACCCCCTCAAGATTTTGATTTGACCCCCCCCCCCCCACCCAAACTTTCGATTTGCACCCCCCTCAACCTTTCAATTTATTTTTCCAACCCATTTTGGCGCCCCCTAAGGTCGGCGCCCGGGGACATATGTCCCCCCCCCCCACCCACCCCCCCCCCCCCCCCCTCCTCGCTACGCTACTGCAGTGTCACTTATCGTCACAAATAAC